CTTTATATAAATATCATCTTCAAGTTCTTCATGTAGAAAGGCTGTCTTAACATTCATTTGTGCTAACTTCAAATCCTCAATGGCAACCAAAGCAAGCAAAACACTAATAGAGCTATGTTTGACAACAAATGAGAAAACATCATTAAAAGCAATACTTTGCACCTGAATATAACTCTTTGCAACCAACCGTGCTTTATATATTACTTTATCAGCCCCTGGAAAGCCTTCCTTTTTTCTTGAAGACCCATTTGCTTCCAATAATTCTCTTATCTGGCAGTGGTTTCACAAGAATCCAAATATTATCTGGTGGTGGAGAGATTAAATTTCTTCATTCATTGTCGCTATTTACTTAACAGAATCATCACGCTGAATTGCGTCTGAATATGTCGATGGCTCACTATCTCCACCTATTTCCTCTGCAACAGAAAATGCATATGCAACAAAGTCTGCATACCGCTATGGAGGTCGAGTGTTTCTACGATGTCTTCCAGTGGCTATGAAACATGACTCTTCTTCTGAACTTTCAATATCAACTGATGTCTGCTGAACAGAAGAGTCTGGCTGAGGAGTGCTAGAATAACCAATTTCGAACTCCACCCGCTTCTGTGTATTCTCACTTGAACTCAAAGATTCTTTGTTAGACAACATAGCCATTTCATCAAAGGTAACATCTCTACTTATTGCAAACTTTGGAGATATGAGATCAGGACACCATAATCTATATCCTTTCACTCCAGAAGCATAACCAATGAAAATGCATTTCTTAGCCCTAGGCTCCAATTTTCCTTCATTTACATGCATATATGTTGAACACCCAAAAATCTTTAAATTACAATAATCAACAGAAGTACTTGACAAAACTTTTTCAGGAGTTTTGAAGTTAAGAGCAGAATTTGGAGAGCGGTTGACAATGTAGGCAACAACCATGTTGATTGCTTCAGCCCAAAAATCCTTAGTCAATCCTACATTGGAGATCATACATCTTGCCCTTTCCAAGAGGTTTTGTTCATACGTTCAGCCACGCAATTCTGTTGAGGTGTCATCCTGACTGTGCGATGCCGAACGATTCCTTCTTTCTTGCAAAGCTCAATGAACTCCCCTCCACAAAATTCCAAGCCATTATCGGTTCTCAACCGCTTGATTTGTTTTCCTGTTTGCTGATCAATCAAAAATTTCAATTGTTTGAAATTTAGAAAAACATCATTCTTATTCTTCAAAAAATATGCCCAAACGTTTCTTGAGTAGTCATCAATAAAAGTTAGCATATGTCTGGCACCACCTTTAGATGAAACATGAAATGGACCCCAAAGATCAGAGTGGATATCGTTAAATGTACCTTTTGTCTTTTTGGGTTACTGATGACTTGAAACTTACTCTTTTATGCTTACATAATGCTTACAGAACTCCAACCATCCAGTAATTTGTCCACAAAGAAGTCATCTCCTGCTTAAGATTCCTAAGTCCTTTTCATTTATATGCCCAAAATGCATATGCCATAACTTGGTGATATCAGATTCAGCCAAATAGGATGATAAAACAACTGCATGCCCAGTAACAATTGTCCATTGCAAAGTATACAAGCTTCCAGATCGGATACCTTTCATAATTACGAGAGCATCTTTGAAAATCTTCAGAACACCATTTTGACTTGTGTACCTGCAACCAAGTGCCTCAAGTGTCCCCAAAGAGATAAGATTCTTTTTCAAATCAGGGATCTGCCTAACATTAGTATGTGTCCTCACAATGTCATCGTGCATCTTGATACGAACAGTGCCCTTACCTATAAAATTACAAACGACATTGTTGCCCATTAAGAAAGTTCCTCAATTTCCCTAATCAATGTAGCAAACAAATCTCTATTGGGACACATGTGATAAGAGCATCCTGTATCCCAAATCCACTTATCTGTAGATCGCATCCTATCATGAGTGACAAGGAAAAAAGTATTCTCACTATCATCAGCAGCAACACTAGCTTCAGTGGTGTTATCTTTCTTAACAACCGATTTTTCTGTTTGCTTATTTTTCAATTTAAAACTATCAGCTTTAATGTGCCCCATCTTATAACAATAGTTACAGTTTATATTTCAGTGTCTAGACTTTGATCTAGATTTACTATTGTCATAGTTTCTCTTATCCGATCTCTCTCATCATCTATCTTAACATCAATATTTTCCAAATCCATAATAATCGAATCAAAATTATCAAGATGAGAGAGTAATGATGTACCTTCCGCTATTCAAAACATATAAAGGCTTTCTTTAGGTACAGATGATTCTCAATAGACTTCTTCATGTACAAAGCCTTAAGCTTATCCCACATTGTCTTAGCCGAAATCTCTGTAGCAACCTTCCGCAAAACCTCATCAGAGAGATTTAAGATAATGCTCGAACGGACTTTCTTATCCAGCTCCGAAAATTTGGACTTCTCCATATCTTTGGACATTTTTTCAACACCCTAGATAGCCAAATCAACTTCACCTTGGACCAAAATGGCATCCATCTTGAGTTGTCACATCCCAAAGTTGTCATTTATGTCAAACTTTTCAACTGCTGTCCTTGTGATTGTCATTCTATGGTAACAAAAGATTTCCACAAGGGCTCTAATACCAATTTGTTAGGAATATGACCCAAAAAAGTATTTTCAGAACCTTAAAAATGATAAAAATAAAAATAAAAAATTTAAAGGACACAAGAATATATATGTTCAGTCAAGATGACTTACATCCACAGGCAAAATCACATATACATTTGTGAAGAGAACCCATGTCTTTTTTTTTTTTTTTTTTTTTTTTTCTTTTTTTAATCTATAAACATAATAAATTGAAATTTGTATTCAAGTTGAACTATTTTAGCTTATATATTAGTTTTTAAAATCCAATATTTGGACAGAGTTGAGTTTACAAATAATTTGTATCTTTTACTATTCTACACATACAAATGTAACAATTATTTAACTTTCGTTGTTCACAATATGTTTCATTAAAGGTTTCAAATAAGTTTTAAACTTTAATTTATTTATTTATTTTTTACCTTCTCCTAATTCAATTAGATATAATCTTCTATTGAATCGACATTCGATCTCAGCTAGTTTCATCGTCATTTTTTCAACCTCAAGGTATCATCATTGTCATTTTTTGTTCTACAAGTTCGTTAATTGTGTTTCCAGCACTGATCCATCACTGCTTCCTCGTGCTTATTTATAAAGGGAGAGAGGTCCTTTCCATGTTCGAATTGCTTTGGATATTGCATGAATTTTTTACATTATATTTCAAGTATCACAATGATAATAATGGGGGGCAAATCACTTACTGATTAGTGTCTGATTTTTCTTATGTTTTGAAAAAAATGTACTAAAATATGTACAAAATTGTGTGAATGATTGAGAAATCTTATGTAAATATATGTAGGATTAATTAGCAACACAATCATATATATATATATATGCTTGTATGCAGGCAAATATATCGGTTCTTGTTATAATTAGTATATATATATATATATAACTCAAATAATGCAATGAAATAGTTCATCACCATCATCATCTTGTTTTAGTTTCTCAAACATTACTTTGCAATTTTCATGTAAAAGAAGTAGTTTTCACTCATCGTTATAGTTATTGTGCCAAACTTATATAAAATTCAATACAATACTCATATAACTAAAGATAATACATAGTATAATAAAAAGATAACACATCATTTTTGTTAATTTAATATTATAAAATATAACATATAAATTAACAATATATGATAATTATCAATACAACATATAGTCTCATTGATTTCAATGTATAAAACATGTCCATATAGCACACCCTATATACAGAACTGCAAACACATTAATTTAATTAACACAACATCTGCTATGGTAATGGAATGAATGTGTTGTTTGCCTATTAATAATGTTATGATTGAAAAAATGAATACCATGCTTATTTGATTCCTGTCAATAAGAACATTTAGCCCATCCCCTGTATATATTACTATTAATATTTTCAGTAATACACTATTTTTAACTTGAATAAAAAAAATGTGTTTTATAAGGCGATCACGTCAGCAAATCGATTTTGCAATTATTGTGTAGTTAATATTCAACTTTAATATACTATCTTGAATCCAATTACTTGCATACGCTTTTCCGAAGGATGATCGCGTTACCAAATCTTCCTCAAATTTAGCGTGTGATCGAAAAGAATGAATGTAAGATATCCATAAGATAACTAAAGTTTGCTATCACGTCAGCAAATCAATTTTGCAATTATTGTGTAGTTAATATTCAACTTTAATATACTAACTTGAATCCGATTACTCGCATACGCTTTGTCGAAGGATGATCATGTTACCAAATCGATTCTTCAAATTATGTGTGTGATCGAAAAGAATGAATGTAAGATATCCATATATAAGATAACTAAAGTTTTCTAGTGTTGTAATGTTTGGAGAATAAAACCAGAGTAACATTTCAAAAATTAAAGATGTTTATTGTCAACCAAGAACTACTAAATATAAGATTACATATTGACTTTCATGTTATTCATTAATTCACTTCTTTCCCAATATATTGCCTATTGAAATTTATGTGGTGACATCTTTTTAACATTCACATATTACAAAATTGAAATATATAGAATAATGATAATAAAATTTAGTAAAACCAAAGGTAGGTGGTGGTTGTGGTACTTTTTTAAAAATACATACAAAAGGTCACATGTTATATATAACATAAGAAGCAAAGAAAACTTAACTGCAATATCTTTATGGAGAGATTCTACTAATATCTCAAGCCCTTTTGCACATTTTGGTCAAAACTAATGGTTATTTTGCATGCTCAAAATCCTCAGCCATTGGATTCACACTACATCAACGGTTGAGATCGCACGCAACCCTCTACTAATAAAAGGGCAAGTGCAACAGTTCTTTGTACGTCAGTGAGAAAACATAAAAGATTTAATAACCTTCCCAGAAGAATTTTTCTTGATTGAATCATAGTTCTTGTTCTCATGGAGGGTGAGGAAGGAAACAACCTGGTCAATAACAATAGCCTGGAAAACAATTCCAACTATTGTCTCAACAATATCCATCCCTTAACATCGATTAAGAACTATTATCTTGGGCAAACTCGAGATGGTTTAGAAGGCAGCTCTCAACCATCATCCACTTCTTCAAGGAATTTTCAATCAGTTGTATCAAATGCTAGTCATGATCGAGTTGATCTTAGTGGTGGTGTTCAGATTGGAGCAGTCTCTAAATCAATGAATACTCCATCGAATAATCTAACCCTTATATCTAATTCTTCTGAAATGATTTTAGATTTTAATGGCGACAGTAAAAGAAAGAACATAGTGAAGGGTCAGTGGACTCCAGAAGAAGATCGGTAAATCAATAAATAAAAACACATGAAAATTCTCAATATCCTATTTTTATTTATGTTTTCTTCAGTAAGATCTGCAATGAAATTGGTGATTATACCTTTCTTTTTTTTCTTTTGGTTTTAATTTTTTTTATGCAGAAAATTACTTGAGCTGGTGCAACAATATGGGTGTGTGAAATGGACTGCCATGGCTGAGCATATGGAAGCAAGAACTGGGAAACAGTGTAGAGAGAGATGGCATAATCACTTGCGTCCTGATATTAAGGTCCCTTTTTTTTTTTTTTTTTTTTCTTTCTATTCTTGCAATCCTTCGACCCATCATTAAGAAAAATTTTTTCACAAAATGAAGTCCTACATCTGTGTTGTAAAATCATATGTTGTCTCATCTTCATTAAAAAAAAAAAAAAAAAAAAAAGAGGTATAGCAATATTCTATGCAATTCATGAAACTGAAAGACTTTTAAGCAGCAAACCCTAATAATTTTATTGATAAATCAGTAATTCCCCTTTTCCTGCTTTTCATTTTATATGTGTGAACAAAAGTACTATGTGATCTGATTAATGTTACAGAAAACCCTGATTTGGAGTGAAGAGGAAGAGAGACTATTAGTCCATCTCCATAAGAACATTGGTAACAGATGGTCGGAGATCGCATCAAATATGCCAGGAAGAACTGAGAATGCTGTCAAGAACCATTGGAACGTCACAATACGCAAGCAAAAATCGAAGCGCCGATTCACTGGCGTGTCTCCATCAACTGTGTTGGAAGACTACATCAAAGCTCTATATTTCGGCATCGATTCCACACCGGCAACAACTTCTGAGCCCAACGATCATCAACCAACACAATTGACAAAAACCAATGATACTTTGATTCGGGCAGCTGTGGATGCATCGTTCAATAGATCTTATGATGATGAGGATGCAGTTGACTCAGTGCAATACAACTTTCTGGGGATGTTGGAAGATGAAATGAACTTCTTGGAAAAGCTCTTCGGGGACACGAAGAAAGCGAAAGATAATTCGAAAACTTCTCCTACATCCGAGAATGATTGTACAACCTCAAACACCCCAGAGAATATATGAAGCAACCAGTCTGCTCATCCATGAGAACCTACAGTGATTATTATTATTATTGTTGTTGCTGTTATTGTTATTGTTATTTGTCCAAAAATGTTTTATTAATATATGTATTTGGGTGTTTGAGTTCTCTTTCATATTATAAACATATACATGAAGTGTATCTTATGGATTTTAAGATCATTTAGTAGAATTATCCATGTTAAATGATAATTAAATAACTTTATTTACTTATGTTTTAAAATTTGTATTTGCAATATTGGTAAAAAAAAATTTCAATAGAAATATTACATTGATAAAAAATTATTTTATAAAAGACCTATTGTATATTTTAAACATCACATCCTATGGTTAATCAAATAAAATTTCATTATTTATGTAAATTTTACACTACTCCGGTTTTTGGAGATTTTTTTGGAATTTTATAAGTTTGAAAAAAAAAAAAAAGTGTATTGATTTGATGTTTTACAAGACAAAAAATATATTTGATATAATATTGTTTAAAAAATAAATAGTAACAAAGGAGTGAAAGTGATTATGTAAACAAAGCTGCTAACTTTTATTCTTGAACTTATTTTGTATTATTCACAAAAAAATCTATTTAAAAAATTTATATTTATAATTATTATTAATTTTTAAAAATATTGCAATGAAACACCTACTTATATCAGAAATCAAATATATTCTTCATTCAATTTTTTTTTTTTATTTATTAGTTCTAAAACAACTGAAAATTCTAAAACACTTATCTAAACACAACCTTAGGGAGTAGAGAGTGTTTGGTAACGTTGGCAAGTTTCAATCCACTGCTTGAGAAACTCTCCAAATGATTATCATAATATAAAATATTTTGTAATGACTGAATAATATTATAAAATATAATTTTTTTATAATATATTTTGTGTAATTTACAGTATTATAAATTTATATGTTTGTATTTTGCATTAAAATATAAATATTTATGAGAGAAAATTTGTAAATTAAGTGATCACGTGAAATTTTTTTATAAAGTGTGTTTTTTTATCTTTAATTGTATTTATATTTTGTATTTAATAGTTTTCTAATATAATATTTTATAAAAAAATAATTTATTTATATGTATAATTATGATGAACGTCGTAATAAAGAATCTAAGGGTATGTTTGGTACACCGAATTGAGAGTAGAGAAGATAGAAATATTTTAATTTCTTTTATTTGTTTGAGAAACATAAATCAAACTAAAGAAATAAGTTGTTTTTATTTTATCTATTTTTATTCTCTCACATATTCACATAAATGAATATTGATGCATTATATTTATTTTTTTAATTTTTTTTTACTATTTAATTTATATCTATATATTTTTAGAAATTATATTATTTCATTTTTTACAAAATATCACATTTAATATATTATTCAAATATTTAATTTTTATGATTTTTAAAAAATTAAACTAAAATATGTTCCTACAAACTATTGCATCTAATTTATTATTTAAACAAAAAAATTACCAAAAGTATTTTCTTATAGATTGTCTCTCATTAAAACTCTGTTTTACCCAATTAATAATTTATTTTTATTGATCCATCTAGATAGCCATGTGTTTCTAAAAACTTGAATTTTCTATTTTTTCAAAAACGAAAAAAAAATTAATTCTCATTTTCTACTGAATTCATTTTCTCTTCAATTCAATTCTCTACTGTTGTTTCTACGTAATTTCGTTGTTTGTATCAATTACTCCCTAAAAACAATCTTATAATACAATCTGCATAATTAAATCATCATAATTAGAAATATTGTGTAATATTTCATTATGTTTTAAAAAATATTGCATAGGAAGTGCTCGAAAAACAATACCCTCCACCAATCCGCTAACTTTTGATATTTGGGGAATTTTAAGCTATATTTTAAAAATACAGAAGAAAGATTATACGGTTTCTATACATGAGTAATCACTACAAAAAAAAAATAGTATATTTGTAACGGAATTCCGTCACTAAAGATCACGTAGCTAACGTAATTCCATCATTAATTCCGTCTCTAATATCATTAGTAACGGAAAAAGTGAATTTAAAGAAGAAAAAATCTTGTTACAAAAATGATATTTTCTTGTAGTGAATAATGATGCAAACTTTACAAACTAATGTAAGTTATATAAAAAAAAAATTATGTATTGTTTTATTTAACACATTACATACCATTTCTATTTTATATAAAAGACCATAATTACAAAAATAAAATAAAATTACAAATAAATAAAGATGGAATTTACTTGTTATACTCTCATCATCCCGTAAAAATAGACTCTTTGGATTTGACACGAAGATTAAAAAAATAAATATTTTATTAAAAATAATTAAACGTAAAATATCGGTTAAATGTGCTTTTGAAAATTTACTTACTAATTAATGATGATGAAAAGAAAGAACATAATTAGGGTAGTGACAATTATAATAAATAAATATTGAATGTAGCGTAATAATTAAGTGTTTAAAATTTAAGTTTATCAAATTTAACCGGTCTAAAAAAAACAGTGTAAAAAAAAAAAAAAAAAAATTGACGGACGAAAATAATATTTTACATGTGCTTGCTGAATATAAACATCATATAAGTTACTTTGTTAAAAAACATGAAACAAGAACACCAGGTTAAAAAAAAACAGAGGTTTTAGTCAATAAATGCATAATATTGCCATAATATATCGTTTCTCATATAATATTTATTATCTATTACAATTCTTTTAACCTTATTAAGAAAATATTTTAGTTAAAGTCAAAACTCATTTTACTTGCACAATATTACCACTACAAGAAAAAATAATTTTTGTAACAAAATTTTTTTTGTCTCTTAATCTATTTTTTCCGTTACTAATGACATTAGAGACGGAATTAGGAATGAAATTACATTAGCTACGTGAACTTTAGGGACAGAATTCCGTTACAAATATATTAATTTTTTGTAGTGTTATTTCCAATTTAAAGTTTTATAGTCATTTTGTTCATTTTAGAATTATATTTATTTTGTTTACTAGAAGCTTATTTTATAAATTATATTTCTTTTGTCTAAGTATGCTAATTTTCTTTGTATAAAATAAAATGAACACATTTTAAAGACAAAGAAAACAAATATACTTTTGATGGAGGAAACGAAAAAAAATTTATATTCATTTACTATGGAAAAAAAAGCAATATAATAATAATAATAATAATAATAATAATAAATCACAATAATAATAATAATAATAATAATAATAATAATAAAAAATCACCGAGTAAACACATGTGTTTTGTATATCGAAAGATATTTTTATATAGAAAAGTAAATTAACGAAGACAAGTACTATATATATTAATTAGAAAATAAGACCGAAAAAAAAAATATATATTATAGAATTTTTTCTATCTCTTGCCCTCAAAACATACATATGAACACAATAGATGTAAATTCAATTAAATATTTATCTATTATTAATTTATATATTTTCGTAAAAGTCAATAACTCCACAAAATTAAAGTCACTATTCCTCATCATAATCTTTATCGCAATTCATGAAATAAAAATACTTTCAAGAAATTCTTAAGTTATTGCGAATCAGTAAGCCTCCATTTCTTGCTTTATATATATATTTTTATATATATGAACAAAATTAACCCTATATGATCCGATTAATGTTACAAAAATCCCTAATTGGGAGTGAAGAGGAAGAAAGATTATTAGTCGAACTCCATGAAAACATGGGTAACAAATTGTCAGAGATTGCAATACATATATATGCCGATAAGAACTGGGAATGCATTTAATAAGAACCATAGGAACGCCACAATTCGTATACAAAAATCGAAGCGTCAACTCAAGACCGCAACGGAGAGAGGCTCACCAGCGTATGTCCATCAACTGTTTTGGAAGACTACGTCAAGGCTCTGTATTGCAGCAACGAATCCACATAGGCAACCTCTGGCCACAATGATCATCGATCCACCCAATTGACACAAACCATTGATGATGCAGTTGATTCAGTGCAATACTGCTTCCTGGGGATGTTGGAAGAGGAAATGAACTTCTTCGAAAAACTTATTCGGGGACACCAAGAATGCGAAAGATTATATTGATTTGTTCCGATCAGTCCCAGATCAGAACCCACATGATAAGTCAACAACTTCTCTTGCGTCCAAGGATGGTTGTACAACCTTAAAACACCTCCATTGCCACCCCGGAGAATTTGTGAAGCAACCAATCGACTCATCCATGAAATGATGTAAACCTAAAATGAATTTGATCATGATTTCTAATATTATTATTATGGCGGCAGCTACAGTTGAAATTCAACACTGTACTGAATAACACCCAATAAACTCTCAAAAATCACACGACAATTAGGATAGTAATAATTGTAGTAAATAAGTATTGGATGTAGCGTAATAATTAAGTGCTGAAAATTTAAGTTACCAAAATTAGCAATGAGCCAAATTTAACCGGTGTACAAAAAAAAAAAGAATAAATTTGACGAATGAAAGAAGTATTTTATATGTGTTTACTTGAATACAAACATTATTTGTTAGAAAACATGAAACAAGAACGTAGGGTTTTAAAAAATAGGTTTTAGTCAATAAATGCATAATATTGCCATAATATATCATTTCTAATATAATATTTATTATCTACTACAATTCTTTTAACGTTATTGATAAAATATTTTACTTGAAAGTCAAAACTCATTTTACTTACACAATATTACAATTGTTAAAATATATTTAGAAGCAATATATTCTTGTCTTATTTAGACGATTTATACATCACTATAAATATGTACGTATTCTTATGATTGAAAAAGAGAATTTCAGTTTCATATTCTAATATGGTATCAGAGCCAAATTCTCTCCGGGTACCTCCATAACCCGTTATATCTCGTATATATTTTTATATTTTATTAATATATTTGCTTCTATCTACGATCATGTTGTTATTTTCATGTCGTCTTTGTCTCTACTACTCAACTGACAGAGTCTACTTTTGACTCAAATGCCAT